AGCAGAACAAAACATATTTAGTCAAAATGAAAAAAAGAGGTTGAAGGTATGATCAATAGGCTCAAAGAGCTCATTTAGATGAATATAATATATTAAAATAAGGATATTCACATCAAAATAATTAGTAAATAAACGCACATAGTATGCCCGAATTCCGAAGGTATTATGCACTCAATCTGCTGAAGTCGATCCAGCATATCATCGACAGATGCGTGCATCATCAAATGATCAGCATCATTAGATTCAGGACAGCCAGAGTTCGTAACAAACTTTGTATTTGATGACCTCACAGTGGATGAATACGTCCTAATGGGAGGCGAGAGAGTGGGGGGTGAAAAAGAATCCCCGGGGTCAGCAGAATGCCGAGGTGAGGGAGCGGTAAGTGGCGTGATAACTAGATCAGAGGAAAGTTTAGTGGGCGGAAGAAGAGGACTCGAGGAAAGGCGAGAGATTGGCTGACGAAAAAGAGGAGCCAAATGAGCCAGCTGACGGAAAGAATCGAGATAGCCGTCTAAAGCGGGGTCTCTCTGTCCTGGTTTAATAAACACTTGGCCAAGAAGCTGAATGATAAAAAAAGGAAGAAAAACTAGGAATTTGAAAAAATGGTGAAGAATAAGGAGATAAAAAGGCCAAAGGCGAAAGTAAAATGCCATTTAATTAATTAAGAATCACTTTAAAAAAATTGAAGCTAATAGACATGACGTCGTCAAAAAAAGCTACATGACTTTAAATGATCAGGAAAAGTTTCCATTAGATCTTATATAAGAGCTCAATTTGCCCTATTCTATTCAAAATACTAGAGTACTGATAGTTGAATTTTTCTACAATTATATGCATAGGTCTCATAGTTCCAATGAACTTTACATAGCCTTGGTTGCCAAAAGGTTTTTATCAGCCAGGCTGTAACGCAGTTTAGATTGAGTCTAGATCTCATGAGAACCTCAAAGAAAAAGACAGGCAATCTAAAATTCAAGAAAAAAATGGGGCTAACAAATATAATTCCAGGAAAGTTCAACAATAGGATGAATACAGCTTTTATATCAGATCTGCCGGTAATCCCAAAATGCTAAGTAAAATAAATAATGTAGTTAATTGTAATAGCAAATACAACTTTGCTAATCGACACTCACAAAACAGAAAGGTAATAAAAGAGAGGAATAGGCTTCCTTGAAATTCACTTCTGCCTAGTGACCAAAGGTCACTCGTGGCAATGTGGCTTAGTAGTGCTTAACATATAGAGGCTATATACTGCACTAACCAGGTTTAAGCCGAGGTCCAAACTGCAGTCCCCAATGAATGAGAAAACCGTTTGGGAAGGACGGCTGTGTGAAATTTAATGGAAACTTAAGGCCTACTCATATGATTATGGGAAAATTCTACCACCTAAAATCATCACCCTAAACGAAATAGTGGGGGGAAATTTTGATACTAAGCTACTCGCGTTGTAAGGAATAAATGTTAGTGAAAAATAATTGGTTTAACTTAGAGGCTAAAAGAATAAATAATAGGAATACGAATAGTTAATAGATTGAATAATTATTGAAATTTTCTAATTAAGATACTTATAAGTAATTAACTCAGCACGGCACACATTATTCTCCCTGTAGCTTCGAACAAAGTGCGAAAGTGAGGTTAAAGCAAGTGAGGTTAAAGGAAGAAGCCTATAAACACTGTTTGGCGGTAAATATTATGAATTATGAAGTGCATAATCTTAACTCTGCATTAAACAGAAAAGGCCATTCAGTTGACACCGAAATGATTGAATAAAACAGAAGAAAAGGAGAGAAAGGCTATACAAGTTCAGAAATATTCCGAATTTACCCCAATTTTGACGCTTATTATGGAAGTAGATATCTCACTAGCAGAGAAAACTAATTGTTAGTAAAAATCTATTTCTGCTCGTCTTGCATTGAGCGTAAATAAATGGAAGAGATAAACTTCTCATTATTAAATTAAATTGAATAGATATAAATATAATAAAGCCAAAAAATGGCAGTTTAGCAAATGTGAACTTTTCAAAATAGGAATAAGATAAAACATTTGAGCAGAAAGAGATCGGTATTTAATGTATATAGAGCTTTAGAAGAAGAAAATTTATCAAATCAGAAAAGTATTACGGACATAACTCTAAAATTAAATACAAATTGGTTAAAAAATCGGCGTGAGCCTACCTAGTTTAGTCCCTTAATATACTTCAGCAAATAAAGAATTCAAACCAGATTTAGCCAAGCCATTATGGCCTGGACTCCAAACATTCATTAAAATAGTCGATTTCTCATATGGATATGTCACAATCTTATAAGATATGAAGAAATGGGCTTCCAAGAGATCCTTAATCAAAGAAAATGTTAGAGTTTCTTGATAGTCATCATTATTTGCCCCTTTCTAATTAGGCTTTAGAAATAATAAGGAATAACGTTAAGGTTAAGACACGAAAAATTTTAGGCTTGCTGAACATAACCAAGTAGTCTTCGTCTGAAAATATATTCGAAGGGATAATTCTTTTCTGGAGAAACAAGCATCATACATCTATTAATAAATAATTTTATGACTCCAACATTAATTTTTCAGCTATGATTAAAAGTAAAATTCATAATAAAAAGAGGAAATACTCTTAAAAATGTACCATCTCTAAAAAAAAATAACCGATATAGTAAGAAATAAATCATTTTAAAATTCCATTGTAAAATTTAAATTATTTAATTGTCAAAAGATATGAAAAGCAAGAAGGTGTGGCTTTGGTATGGTCAAGTTACGTAGAAGATTACAAATAAATGACCAAATAGTTCCACAGGAGTATAAAGGAGGTACAACGGTGATAATGGACAGACAATAGTAGGCGACTGGAGCACTTACCAAATAGTAAGAAAGGATATAACAATGAGGATCAACAGAATACTAAAGGAAATGCGTAACAACGAAGAAATCGACAGATGGATGACGAAT